AATGAAATTTCTTTGTGTTGCAATTGATGGTTTGGTCTCTTCTGAAGTTTGGGGCTTAGTGATGGATTACAGTGATTATTTTTTATCTGTTTAAATAAAATAGAGAGGTTAGGTTTTGCTTTTCTATTTATTTTCCAGAGCTATAAGGAAACCTGCTCTGTATGTAGTTTACTATTTTATTGCTAGGCCACGTGAATTTAACTTTTACTTTGAGTTTTGTGACCTTAGAGGAATGGTTAGTTATCTGACAAGGTCCACTCCTGTGTCCATTCTTCCATATACTAAACTCATAAGGCTGAACAGTACTGAGTGGCATAGAATACCCTGTGAAAGGGGCAGAGGGTCTCTTTAAAGACAGGAAGTAGTGTTGGATGGGTAAGTGTTTAGTGTAGAAGCAGGAGAGGTGGGAAGGTAAGGTAGGTGAACTCTCGAACAAAGGGGAATAAACTAAAGTATGGGAAAGGTAAATTCTTGGAAAAACGTTCCTTTGAGCCTGCGATAAGCCTGGCACTCAGTCCTGTAGAGTCTCTCTAGGAGAGAAGAAGACGGTTTCTTGGAACATTTTATCGTCTAGTTAAACTAAAACTGAACAGAAACATTATCAAGATTTAGGGGAAGAGTGATACCTTTACAGTTTCATTAAGCATAAAAATAGTTTTGTTAAATGCAGTTTTTCAGCTTAAATATACTTTAGAAAAGCCCCACTTTAAAAAATCACTTTGATGAAAAAGCTTCTGTGAAAATATCAAGCAAATTAATGCCTCTTCTTGTGGTTGAGGATTCCTAATTTTTCCTTGTAATGCATTACGCTTACAAGCATGAAAACATTGTTTTGCTCTTTCTCTGAGTTGAGCTGATCACTAAGGCAGATCTGTCTGGACAGATAATCCTTTGAAAGTTGGTTTTATGGTCAACTGGTAAATTGATGGAGGTAGGTATAATTCTATGTTACATGCTGGTATATAGCTTTTTAAACTCTGGTGCTTAGTTTGGTAAATCTTTAGAGTCTAAATTATTTGTTGAATGTATTTTTTTTTTTTTTTACAAAGACTGAAATGAAGGTTACATTTATGTTTTCTTTGCCCCAACTTGTCTATGATATCAGTTGGAGCAAAAGTAGATTAGGGTACATTTCATGTTAACTTTTTCTCTCTCTCTCTCTCTCTTTTTTTTTGGTACTGACCTCTGATTCTCTGTGGCAAAGAACTATACTATGACTTAAGGGGAATAGTATTTAAGAAAATTGGTGAGATTGAGTTGTAAGTAACTTCCCATTGATACCAGTTAATATTTTTATGGTTAGAGACCTTGTTTGGTCAGGACAAAAGAGCTATAGCTTAATGATAGTTTACTTTTTTTTTAAGCTCTAAAGATCATGAGATACTTTTAATTGTCTTTTAACCACTTTTTCCCCAACATTTGGAAAATGGTTGAATAAAAACATTTATTGCTGAAGGCTTGAATCATTTTTCCTAGATGATTTATAAATAGGTTTACATATTTATAAATAGCCTGATATTAATGTTTCTGTTATGTTTCTACCTTGATAATGAATTACATGTAACATTTTTGAGGGATGCCTAATCATCTTGTCCTGTTAAGGCACAAAGTTAGAAACTGGCAGCAGAGAACATTGGAGTAGAACTTTATTATAGTGCATGCTATTATGTATCTCGAGACATTCTTTTCTTGTGGGATATCCCTACAGTATGACCTCATGCCATGAAAACCTGACCAGATAATCTGCTTATACTTAATCCTGTTGGTGTGTGTAGCACAAACACACACATATACATAGGTACGGTAGCAGGACATACGTTCCAAGACCCTCAGTAGATGCCTGAAAACTCAGATAGTACTGAAATTATATATATGTTTTCTATTATACATAAACACCTATGCTAAAGTTTAATTTATAATTTAGGCACAGTAAGAGATTAACAATCATGAATAATAAAATAGAACAATTATAGTAATAAGCCACCATCACTACTCTTATGCTTGGGGTCATTATTAAGTTAAATAAGGGTTTTACACAAGTTCTGCAATATTGAGACAGTTGATCTCATAACCAAGAGGGTTACTGAGAGACTAGTGGGCTGGTAGAGTGAGTAGTGTGACACGTCAAAGGGGTGATTTATATCCTAAGTGGAATAGGGGAGGGTAGTGCACAATTTAAAGCTTATGAATTGCTTCTTTCTGAATTTTCCACTTAATATTTTTGGATATCTCTTGACTGTGGTAATTAAAACCACGGAAAACAAAAGCATGGATTAGGGGGGGACTACTTTATATGTATAATATAATACTACCAAACTTAAACTGGGAAAGTTCTTATGTCTAAAGATAAAGTGACAAGGGAAAAAAAGGTGGCTAGTAGATGAAAAAGGAATAATTTTATTTAAGTGGAAAAAAAGGTATGATATTAGGCTACTGTGCTTCTGTTCACCTTTCTGTATTATCTGTGCTGATTACCCTTTTCTTGATTCCAGCCTCTTTGCATCAACATTTGTTTTTTGTTTTGTTTTAGGGGGTTCAGGAGCTTCCTCTGCTCATATACTATGTCCTATTAAAGAACTCCTGGTACTGTAAGAGCTCTTTGCCTATAGAAATGAACCTCATCTGCCTTGCTTCTTCACACTTCTGATATTTCTTTTTTCTTTTTTTTTTGAGACAGAGTCTTACTCATGCTGGGTAGAGTGCCATGGCGTCACAGCTCACAGCAACCTCAAACTCTTGGGCTTAAGTGACTGTCTTGCCTAAGCCTCCCAAGTAGCTGGGACTACAGGCGCCCGCCAAAACTCCTGGCTATTTTTTTTGTTGTTGTAGTTGTCACTGTTATTTAGCTGGCCCAGGCTGAGTTTGACCCTGCCTGCCTCGGTGTATATGGCCAGCACCCTTAACCACTGAGCTACAGGTGCCAAGCTAAAACTTCTGATATTTCTTATGACCACGGCTTTCACTTCACAAACACTGTCATCAAGCCCTCGCATGACCACTGTTTGGCACTAGGGATGTGAGGATGACTTTTAACCTGTGTTTAGTCTTCAGCATACTCTGGTGCAGTAGGGCCAATAAATATGTAAATAGATGGGCTGGGCACAGTGGCACAGCTACTTTGAGAGACTAAGGTGGGAGGTTTGCTTGAGCCCAGGAGGCCAAGGCCAACCTGGGCAACTGAGACCCTATATTAAAAAAAAAAAAAAAAACCCAAAAAACCCACCCTGAAATAACCACAGCAATAGTAGCTGTATTTAAAGGACCAGAAGTGTGATTAATGACCTTTGGCCTTGACATCAGGGTCAGGGACAGTATCTTAGAAAAGGTGACACATGGCATCTGGGCTGTGGGAAGAACTGTGTAAAGCCACAGAGACATGCAATAATACGAAGTTTTAGGAGCTGAGAGGTACTGGAAAAGTATAATGTGCAAAAGAAAATACAGGGTGGAGGTAGGCTGTGGACAGATTGTAAAGTACCTCTGTGCAATCTAAGGAATGTGGACTTTATCCTGTAGGTAGTGGGCAATTCCTCAGACATTTTAAAGAAGGTAGTCACTTGAGAAAAAAGGATTTTGAGTCACTCAGTGTTGAACTCAAATTTCTACTTGTGTCACAGACTTACTAGGTGAATATCTTTGGACTTGGTGCTTTAACATTTCTGAACTTCAGTTTTTACATTTATGAAATGGGAATAATGTGGGCTGAGAATACCCTGGGTTGTGAGTGACTTAATCATTTATCAAACGTTATTTATTGAGCACCTATTATACAATGATACCCAGAGAAATTCTACAGGAAAGGGAAAGGAAATATTGTAGGATGGATGAGCCTACAAAGGTTAGAAAAAGCTGGATGCTGGATCACAGCCCTTCCAAACTTGAACACATTTCCCTACTTACACCTGTTCTTATTCTAGTTGTGTTCTCTCAACTATAGTGGTACCCTAAGACAGTAGCCTCAGAATCCTTATTATACCTTATTTATATCAAACAAATTATCAAATTCAGCCTGTTTTCTTTTAAATATTCTTTGGCCGTATCTTTTTGTCTCTATCCCTATTGTTAAAGGGTTGGTTCTGGCCTTTACTCTCATTATTTGGAGTCTTCAGTAGTTGGTCACTTCTTTTCACCAGAAAGTTTTCATTTTAGACAATGCCAGCTGTGTGCTGAGCCCTAGCTAATAGTAAGTGATGGCTGAAACTCTCCATTGTTCAGATCATTAGGTTAAGCTTGTGGTCTGCTGCTGCAGTGAAGGGTTGCCCTCCCTTAGTTGACCATAAGCAGTGTGTCAGTTCTAGCCTTCCCAGGCCTTTCTACAACTGTTCCCTCAGACCTGCTTCCTTCTTTTTTGTTCCACTGTCTTCTGACAAATGCCCGGAGTCATTCATCTTATCTCCCGTTGAAACACAAAGCTTTTTTGTTTTTCTGTTAACAGTTATTCGGTTAATCAGTTTACCCTAAAGAGATTATATGCAGGCCAGCCCCCTGCATTTGTATTTGTATACATTACTACTTTTCCATAAGATTTGAAGGCTTTAAAAAAAAAAAAAAAACACCTCAGATTTTATAAGATTTCTCTTTTCTCAAATCCCACAGCAGGTGCCTTTTATACTCTGAATCTACAATTCAAATGAACTTTCTCTTAGTCCTTAGCCTTTTCAGGCTTCTACCTTGATAAGAAGCTGTCTTGTAAGGAGGGGAGATTTTTTTGTTTTGTGGGGTTTGTTTTGTTTTTTCTTGTTCTGCCCATTTTATCCTCTCCCTTGTTGAGAGTCTGACTATCCATGAAGGTAAGACAGACTTCAGTACCTACACAGGCTGAAGTTGAGTATCTGTATCCCAGTACTTACCATAGTGCTTGCACCCTTTTGGTCATTTTTGTCAAATATTGCTTCATCATCAAACACTGTGTTTACTGTGCTGCTTTTCTTTTCTACATGTGGCAGTTATGAGTTAAGAGCATGAACTCACCTATTTGTATTTTGTTTCTGGTGCTTTAGGTCAGGATGGCTAACTGGCTGGCTCCCCACGTGGTGCCCTACATCTATGTCACACCTTAAAGAAGCTGAAGAGAAAATTTTAAAATGTAAGGTTTTCTTCTTGTAAGTTAAACTAAGTTATATACTAAAAGAAAGAGGTCCAGTGTATCACCTTGCCTTGAAACTGGAGATAAAATTCTGTGGTGTGTTAGCTGTTGGCAGAAGACTTTTTTTCCTCTTCAATGTCATTAGCAATTGCAGAGTAGTAGGGGGTCATAGCTTCTCAAACTTTTTGGACTTGGGTCCCTGTTATACTCTTAAATTAATAATTACAAGGATCTTTGTTTATGGGCTGTCGTTATAAATATTTACTGTATTAAAAGTGAAAATTGAATAATTGAAAATGTTAGTTTATTTATTTTTTATTGAGATAGTCTCACTTTGTGGCCCTTGGTAGAGTGCTATGGCATCATAGCTCACAGCAACCTCCAACTCTTGGGCTCAAGCAATTCTCGTACCTCAGCCTTCCAAGTAGCTGGGACTATAGGAGCCCGTCACGACGCCCGGCTTTTTTTAGTAGAGATGGGGGGTCTCACTCTGGCTCAGGCTGGTCTTGAACTCCTGAGCTCAGGGCAGTCCACCCACTTTGGCCTCCCAGAGTGCTAGGATTACTGGCGTGAGCCACCACACCCAGCCAAAAATGTTACTTCTTTAAAAATAATAATAAACTTATTACAGATCAAAATAACATATTTGCAGAAAAACTACTTTCAAACAAAAGTATATTGAGAAGAGTAACATTGTTCACATGTTTATAAATCTCTTTAACGTCTGGCTTCTCAAATTTGGTGGGTAATTATATTATGTGACCTCTAGAAAACTCCTTTGAATACTCATCAGAGAATGAGAGTGAAGAAGGCAAATAAAGCCTTAGTATTATGAAAACAGTTTTGACTTGTACCTCCTCAGATGGTCTCAAGGATCCCCTGGGTGTCCATGGTCTATGCTTTGAGAACAGACTCAGAGTCAGTGATTTTCAGCTGATGTGCTGTGAGAGGATCTTAGGAGTGCCATGAAAATTTTTTAAAATCATTAATTACATTATTTTGAAAGTTCAAAGCACAGTAAGTATATTCTTTTTTTGCTCTTTTTTTTTTTTTTTTTTTG